TTTCCCTTTATCGTCCCTTATTATTATATAGTCGTTTATCGTAGCGTGTATCGATCAAACCTTGTTATTGCGGGTACAAATTTATTACAAGGATATAATTGTATGTACATTTTATTTAAAGCAAACTTGAAAAGAAGGTGGGAAAATGCTTGATTTAAAAGTAATCTTACTGGATTCCCCTGGGGGAGCCATATATTGTGAACACACGCGAAAAAAAATATGCTTACGAGTACGGTGCCACTTCGCGAACGTATACGGTGTATACAGAGAGGTTTCACTGTACAATATATAAATATATATATGTAATAATTAACAATAAGTGCAATCGTACGAGACAAAAAAATTGCGATTGTAATTTATACATATAAATTATGCAATCGTGATATGTGTATGTGGGTGTACTTATGCGCGTGTGTGTGTGTTGTGCGTATGTGCGTGTGTGCTCGGGGGAATAATGTGTATTCACGATTCCGGAGACTGTCAAGACTGTTTAACAAGAAAGTTTCCAGAGGAGAAGAGTAAGAGTATACTACAATGTGTAACGAAATGTATTGAATAAATCGCGTCTTGTGTGCTTGCAGAGCACCATCCTTACTCTACATAATTACACGACAGAGGAGAGTGAAAGTGTATAATTCTTTGTTCCTGAATCGCGGGTGAACGCGCGGCAGAGCAACTATACGCGAATGGAGCCGCGAAGCGGCTTGATGACATTTTACCGCACATGTGAAACTTTTTAATTTTTCTTCCCTTCTAGGGCAGTTTCGATGTATGCGATGGGCTATAGTAAGACTGTAAGTATACAAGAGAGAGAAAATCCCCAATCGATAAAACATATATCGCGCGCTTAGAGATGACGTCCGGGGCGCCTCTGGTCGTAAAAAGCGTGCGTGACGTCCACGATATTTAATGGGTTAATTAATTATCGCTAAGTGCCCGGGTGCATGAGAATTTTCTAAGAAAAAATTTTCCATGAATTTAAATGTAACGCCTCCACTATACCGGCCTTGCCTGCTCCGTCGCGGCTCTTGATTCTACTACATCCGCAAACGGGATACGTGCGTGTATTACATATGGGGTGACCCAGAAGTCGCGTACTATCTGCAGATGATATTCTGTAAAGTTTATAAAAAAATAAAGTTCTATTTCCGAGTTATTAATATCATATTACGCGCGATTGAATCTTGAAAGTTCTCGGCACATCGAGTTTATAAGAGGGATGAGGGAAAACACAAATATCTCTTACATAATTTTATAAAGTTCTATTTCCGAGATATTAATATCATATTACGCGCGATTGAATCTTGAAAGTTCTCGGCACATCGAGTTTATATAAGAGGGATGAGGGAAAACACAAATATCTCTTACATAATTTCAAGAGGCGTTTAACTTAACAGAATTATAAATTTCTGGTTTAGAAACAAGTAATTAGAGGCAGTAATTGCTAAAGTAATAATAATTGAAGATTAAAGAAATGCCACATCCAATTAAACTCTCGCACATTCAAATTCTTTAATCGAAAAATGATCGACTACAGTTTTACTCTTTCGATTAAGAATTTGCAACCGAGACAAAAGTTTGTTTCTGGGTCATTGTGTATACGTCGTTCCGTAAAAGTCATAAAATGTCAGACTTTATTTCAATTCCGTCATGTGTATGCCGTAGCAAAACTGTGGAGAACGTGTATTAGCCACTTTCACTCTTGTCGAAGTAACAACGATCAGGCGGAAATTAATTACTCCATAAAAACGTACAGATGTAAGATTAATATGGACGAATAACACGACTATCCTTTATTTAATACGCGGCTCTTCTGCATCGCGTGACGTGTGGGATGTAATTATTATCATTAAGATATTCTCGATATAGAGAACTCGTGTTTAAGCACATATTCGAGGGATTCCTTTACCGTCCTTACGTTAGATACTTGAAATTATTATTTCCTGCGTATATATGTGTATGTATACAAATATTACGCGTTCGTAAATCTCTGATCAATCGTTCAATTAATTTAATTGTATTATATGAATATTTTTTTTGTTATATATGTCTTTAAAAGACGCATTTCGTTTCTAAGCTGGAATGAAATTCGACGTTGTCGGCGTTGTTATCATCGCTGACATAAAATGTGATATTATTCGAGAAAGTTCTTGATTCGATGATCATTGTGGTTTACAATATAAACCTTTCTCACAGACTTCCCTGCCCTGTGGATTAGAAAGATATATATTATTATGTAAAATATATTAACTGTGCGCGATATTCATAAGCTATTATAAATACCGATCGTCTGCTTTGTAAAGTGTGTCATTCGCGTTTACTATCTTGCGTATTCGTAAAATTATTGAGTCTGTCAAACGATATTAGATCGTGAATCCACGATCGTATCAAGTAACGTAACAAGCGTCAGTAGTAGGTGAAATCCACGATCGAGAGAGAGGTTGGTGAAGTTATATATAATTTAAAAGCAACTAGACCAACTTTTAAGACCAGAATAAAAGAATAGTTATCACGTAGATAGAGATTAATACTGTATAGACTGAGGTATATCGCGAGAGTAGTATTTTGACATTCGTATATAGTTTTGGCGTTGCAAAAAAAGAAAAGGTAATTAAATGATACTTCCATTCGAATACTCACGATTCTTCTTTCCTTACCTCAAAATTGTTATTATTTATAAGCTATCAGCAACCGTTGCATTACGTTCGCCAAAAAATTCTCGGAATTAGTTTATCTTTTTTTATGATTCGCATGATAGATAGCGCTCGTTGGATATATATTTAAAAATAAAGTTTAATAAATATATATATTTCAGAACGGAAAAAGAGGAGTCGCTATTCTTTATTCCTATAGCAATTCACCATTTTTTCATATAATCATAAGACTTTTCCCATATCTTTTTACGCGATATTAAAATAAGAAATGTATGCACAAGCACATCATGTTTTAATAAAGTAATACTCGAGCACTAATGTATATCATATTGGTGCACGAGATATATATCAGAGTGAATGCTCAAGGAACGTCGGAACGTTTTCACGCCATTGCTCATACCGAATTTATGTAAAAGCATTGTACGTACTCAAAGAAGCGCGAGGAATATTGCAGGCAAAATCCAGCCTCGCGCCGTGTTCGCTTTTGACGTCACAATACCACTACGCTTATGCGCGTACAGCGGATGGGCGGCTGCACAGCATAATTCAGCATATAAAGTCGGCGATGACTTGTGTCGTTCAAGTGAAAATTCTTGTCGTTTGCGTAGAGGTACATTTTTGCTGTCGCATAAAAATAGCTTTCCGCGCTGGGGCTTATCATACAATCCGGTGTTTAATATATACTGGCAAACAGATTTATTGTTAATAATAATTAGCTTGCGAAAAAAATAAATAGGAGGCGATTTTAATCTTTCGTCTTTTCTCTCTCTCTTTCTTTCTCTTTTCATCAATTTAAGTTTTCTTAAAATATTCTCTGATGGATTTTATGATATCCTTAATAATAGTAATTTGCTTTAAAGTAAAAGATATTATCATTTATTTTATACATGAATCGCATTCTCGAGATTAGCGACCTTTATTACGGATATTGAAGCTTATAGTTTAATTCATTTCGATTACATATCTCTATATATATTTACGAGATGTTACATAACATGGTATGCTTTAATTCGCGACTTTAATTTTAATGAGATTTCTTCGAAGAATGAAGTTGAGCTTTCCTTGGAGATAATAATGACAGTTTTCTAGTTATAAGCGATTGGAAAATACGGGCTTTTTATAAGCTAAGCTTGAAAGACATAGAAATGAATAACAAAATTGTATTTTTTAATTTTTAGTTAACTTCAAATCAATTTCTATTTTTGATGGCTTAGTTATAAAGTTACGTCATGTCAAAAATTGGAAAATCACGATTAACGTTAATCTCTCTCTTGACATTTTCGCTGATGAGAAATCGACTTCAAATTAATCGGAGAATCTATCATTACAATCAAGATCGCACAGAATTGCAGGACATATTCTATTTAATATCAATAATATGCGTAAATATTAAAGTTCTGGTATTTACAGTTGGACGACACGCATCAAGCTTTCCCTTCACGCAATCAAATTACATTTACGTGTCATTATAATCTGCTTAAACATTCACCTGTCGGATGTAAGTATATTTAACTTTGCATAAAGCACCTAACTTTTTTTCTCGGGGGATATTAGCTCTCGATTTTTTCAAATGAGGCGTTTAACTTTAAGAAAAAAATGGGAATAATCTTTTTCGTAATGTATAAAAATGTTCAAGTTTCGTAATTGCAAATATATTACTATTGCAATTTTTTAAATATAAATAAGTAAAAGAGAGAGAGAGAGAGGAAATTGTCACAATAGCATCTATATAACATAAGCTACTACTTTATGCGCGTATTCGGACTTGTATTATGCAACTTTGAAGAAAGTGGAATTTATTTAATCAATAATGAGACGACTAACTCAAACAAACTCAAATAACTAATTCTATATTTTTACAGTTTTTAGAATATTGCGAGAGCACAAATTATGTCAGGTAAGTTGAAAATATGGCGTTTATAAAAAGTTTATAAATATAAAATCACGATATACTTTTCTCAAAGTTTAAATGTTAAAATCTTATCTTGCGATAGAATCGACTTTTTAATGCTTGTTGTCCAGGGTAGATAACGACGCGAAGATATGGATTCTTCAAGATAATCAATAGCTTTTCCTAGAATTATATGCACTAGCAATGCGCATGTAATAAATGTGCTATATTTTCTTTCCTGTGAATTGTATATGAAAATTTGTTGGCTGGCAGAAAGGCAGTGCCGGGCAAGTAAACTCAAATAACTAATTCTATATTTTTACAGTTTTTAGAATATTGCGAGAGCACAAATTATGTCAGGTAAGTTGAAAATATGGCGTTTATAAAAAGTTTATAAATATAAAATCACGATATACTTTTCTCAAAGTTTAAATGTTAAAATCTTATCTTGCGATAGAATCGACTTTTTAATGCTTGTTGTCCAGGGTAGATAACGACGCGAAGATATGGATTCTTCAAGATAATCAATAGCTTTTCCTAGAATTATATGCACTAGCAATGCGCATGTAATAAATGTGCTATATTTTCTTTCCTGTGAATTGTATATGAAAATTTGTTGGCTGGCAGAAAGGCAGTGCCGGGCAAGTTTTTTTTTTTTAAGTATATTCAATGTTTATTTATCTATAAAATATCGCTGGTTGTACATCGATAAATAGTACACCAATTTATTGCATTTGCTTAATTTACGCACGTATGTTTTACGTTACGTCTAAAAAAAAAACGAAATATTGTCATGAGGCACGAGTTTTCGAGTTTTAAATCTGATTACTTTCTTTCGCTATAAAAAATCTGCGTACTTCGTAAATAACGTAAATTATAATCGCTTATTACTATCCAAAAAGACTTTTACGATATTGTAACAAAGTAACAAATACATTACATCTACTTAATATTAGTAATTATAATATGCGCAGTACTGTGGCTTCTTTAACCTTTTACTCCACCTTTCGTGTGTCTCTGCAATATAACACAATACGCATGAATAAATTATTTATGAACATAGATAAATTGATATTTTGTCTCTCTATAATTAACGTATAAATAATTAAATTAGATGTCCCTCTCGCGCATAAAACACCGATGTCACACAAGATAGATTTACATATCAAAATAGCATTAATATGCAATTCGTATAGTTTATCTCATTTGTCTCATCTAAAATATGGAATTTCTTACCGCGAGTTGTTCCTTCTCCATGCGTTCCACGATCTTACAACGAGAACGTGCGGCAAGTCCGTAGCGTTGCTCGCACGTGCAATCCTTTTCCATTTCGATGCTTGTAAGACCCTCGGCGATCCTTCTAGCTGTGACCTGGGCGAACTGTCTCTTCTGATTCGGTTTAGCGTCCACGAGATTGTTGGAAATGAACGCCGCTCCTCCGGACTGCAACAACATCATATAATGCGCATAACGACGATTCGTATAGTTTATTCGTTACACTCAAAAAAGTGGTATTGCAACTACAGCAAAAATTTTCTGGGTGCGCAAAATTAACTGAGGTACATAAATGATTAGCAAATACTGTGATATCGCATATGTTTCGCATTTAATCAATCTAAGTGACAGAGACAGAATTTATATCTGAACTGTTTGTGAAATTTAGAAAGAATGTTTTTCTGTGGCGCCTATCCATGTTAAGGCCAATCATACTTGTTATAAAGTTTGGCTGTGGTACACAGAAAAAATTAGCGGCAAGAAACAAATGAATATATAATCCTCACATCTAACATATTTGTATAACGCGCCCAATCTATCTAGCTCTTTTAAACAATTTCTCTCAATTTTTCGATGCTGCAGTTATAATTGGCAGTTATATTTCTCACAAAGATCGTTCTAGCTGTAGTATCGAAACTCATATTTATCCAATGCAGTGATTAACATTTGGCAATGGGACCTAAATTTTCTAGAAGATATTATTAGAATATTGCTGCTATAAATTCTATATGTAACAGACAATATTCTAACAGATACAAAAAATAGCGATAAATTTTTGTTGTGACACCTAGAAATCTACCTATATCAGCAAGACATTTTTGTGAGTGTATATTTAGAGCAAATAATTTTTTTATTAATTTATGGTTTCATCCTTTTTTTTTAATTGTGTCATTGATTCTTCTTTCTTTTAATTTCTGATTATTACACTTACCGCGACAGCAAAGTCAGCGCACACATCTGTGGCGCCTATCCATGTTAAGGCCAATCATACTTGTTATAAAGTTTGGCTGTGGTAGACAGAAAAAATTAGCGGCAAGAAACAAATGAATATATAATCCTCACGTCTAACATATTTGTATAACGCGCTCAATCTATCTAGCTCTTTTAAACAATTTTTCTCAATTTTTCGATGCTGCAGTTATAATTGGCAGTTATATTTCTCACAAAGATCGTTCTGTAGTATCGAAACTCATATTTATCCAATGCAGTGATTAACATTTGGCAATGGGACCTAAATTTTCTAGAAGATATTATTAGAATGTTGCTGCTATAAATTCTATATGTAACAGACAATATTCTAACAGATACAAAAAATAGCGATAAATTTTTGTTGTGACACCTAGAAATCTACCTATATCAGCAAGACATTTTTTTGAGTGTATATTTAGAGCAAATGATTTTTTTATTAATTTATGGTTTCATCCTTTTTTTTTTAATTGTGTCATTGATTCTCCTTTCTTTTAATTTCTGATTATTACACTTACCGCGACAGCAAAGTCAGCGCACACATCGACGGTAGGAAGGACCAGGTTGTTTCTGAGGTCGTTGTTTCCGCTTAGGGGCTTCTTCTTGCTATCGGCAAATACGTACGCGCTATGGCTGTCGTAACCAACGATGTTCTTCTGCGTCTTACCGGAGGCTTGGACCTCACCAGGATAGTACACGTGATAGTAAGTCAGACCCAAATCTCGGTACAGCTTCTGCCCGACTATAAGTCTTAATTGTTGCAACTAGAAAAATCGAAAGTGTCACAAACACGCATTCGTTTAGCGCCGTGATAAATAAATTTATCATATGGAAGAATGAAGAATGTTATCTTACGAGATTCAATAATTCATAAGGAATATTTCCTAGATTGTTTTCATCGACTTTTGATTGACTTGTATTTTAGTTAACTGATAATTGGATATCTCTTTGTCCGTATAAAAAAATTACAATTCAAGAATCGATTATAAACTGCTTAAAGTTAGACGGATGTGCCTCGAGCGTATCTTAGAATACTGACAGGGGATAAAAATAGGAAAATTCTCACCGATAGAGGCAACGGACTTTTCTCGCACGGGCTAGCGATAATTGCGACGACAGCCTTGACCGCACCGGCTCTGAACGGATAGTTAATACCTTCCTCGTAAGCACCGGTCAATTTTAAGGTACCTAATTCTATATCCAGCCTTTGTTCGAGATACTCCATTCGTTTTTCAAAATTACTTGACTTGACCTCCTGCAAACACGCAAATATTTTGTGTATCGAGATGCTCCGATACTATGGAAAACCGAATTTGTATTAGTTTCACAACAGTGTCGACACAAGTTACCTCAAGTGTAATAAGCGGATCCGCCTTTTCGAATTTCATATTCTTCACATCACCCTCAATGTTAAGATTACCGTTGGAAGTGTAGTGTTGCGGCCACTCCATGTGTTCGCCATAACCGATTAAGCCGACGTGGACATCTCTATTAAAAGAAGATGTGATAATAATGATAAAAGTATATTACACAATATTATATTTATTTGTCGCGATATAAGTCTATATATATTCTAATTTTCAATGTTTCGAGGCATTCGTATTTATAGAAATATATTTCAATAATGTGATAATCTCTTTTCTCATAAATATATTATATATCGCGAATATATTATATAAGCGATAAAGTTTACATACGTTATGCCCTGTTGTTTTAGTTCCTCTCTCAGATCGGTTATCAACGTTGGAATCAGATCTTTGAAAACCTTCTCGTTCTTTGCAATTTGTTCGACTATTAAGACAATATCGGCTTGGTTTTTCGGGGTCTTGACGCTGAAGCTATCACCCACAGCGATCGTGTTTTCACCGACCTTACAACTTGCTAAAATATCACGACAAATTTGCTTTCTAAAATAATTATCATTTACCCATCTGTTTTAAATTCTATCTTTTAAAATGATGTTTTATATAAATTTATAATTAGGAAAAGAGAGAGAAGTTTAATATTACGTGTCACGCCATAAATAATGAGATAATAATAATATATATTATTTAAAATAATATTTGAAATACAGAATAAAAATATTTATATAAGCCGTTTCTCTCTTATGGGATTATAAATGATTATTGTAGGATAAAATTTTCATCTATATGTTAATTAAAAAACCCTATTTGAAATATTTATTTTAATCATATAAATTAAAAATAAATTTTCCTAATATATAAATTCTGTTAGAAAATTTAAATGTAATCGTAATATAATAAAATTGGTTGATAATAGCATTATAAAATATTTAAATGATTATTTTCGCTAATCTGCAATTGAAACGGGTCTATTATTGATCGTGTATGTGTGTTTAATAGAAAATTGAACAAATTTATTTCCAATGAGAGTTGTTTTTCTTGCGTTAATGCGTGTATTAATATCACTTTCGATCCGCGCGCTGCTTTGTGTGTAAAGTAGTATAAGTCAACAATTTAACTTACTGCAAGCGGCCGGGATGCTTATTCCGTAAACACGCTTATAAAAGCAGGCGGAGTAGTAAGCGGCGGCGAGCAAGCAAGGAGCTTGCGGATTTCCGTTAGCAGCATAGTCGCAAGCATCTCGGTAATAAGCCGGTTTAATGTAGTTGAAGCACTTTCTAAAACATCACGAACAAACATCGTTTCCAAGTTACTTCTAAGATAACGTGCTTACGCACCGATTATATTGTTTCCATCTCAAATGAAATGTCATCTCTCAAATATATATAATGCATAACAAGTGTCTCACAATAAGATTAAGCTTCAAGGATTATTTTATTATCAGCAGAGCGCGATAAGCACCCTGTATAGTTTTTTCGTAAATTTTATAATATTTTTTAAAATATTATAACTTTTCTTTTCTCTTTTTTTATATTATCTCAAATATCTATATATTGTTTCTGATAGATTAGAGAGAGCAATGTAAATTTATAAAAATTTCCATTCCGAATATCTGAATTTTCGACACTTTATTTCTTACTTAACGTCATATAATTCAATTTAAATGACGAATGTACTTACTTCAATGAAGATTTCTCGCTGGTAAAGTACTCAGTGCAGACTGGATTACGTTCCTGAGTCTTGTGATCGATCGCGTTCACAGCCGCGCAATCGGGCTTCAGTTTGTATCCGTTGGCAAATTCAGTCTCGCTCTCGGTAATCTGTTTCAATTGGAGGAAAAGGCGCTTTTTAGAGATCACTGCAAATACGTTATAAAGTTTTATCGTTCTAAGATCCTTTCGTTGCAAAACGCTCCCCGTCTCTATCTTTATTATCAAAAGTGAAAGATACGATTTTATCTTGGCAGTCTCTTGCGGATAAACGAAGACATTGTATCATATGCTATTGAAAATAAAAGATACTTTATTTTTTCACTTAAAAACACAAGACAATGTCGTTGGTTGTTCTAGTTTCAAACTACCGACTCAGATATCCATCGCGAAAGAATGCTGATCCGTTTGGGAATTTGTGATCCCCTCGGGAAAGAATGCCATTCAACACAAGCATTTGTCTATCGATCGAAGCGGAAAGTTTTGAATAAAGGCAAAAGCGTACAAAAAACATGATTTATAGTCCTGCGATATTACCGTAATGTTTTATGAATAAAAACGCGCACCAAGAAAACGGGGAACGAGCTCTTCCGCAGGTAGGAAGCAG